TATATATCTATATCTATATATCTATATATCTATATATCTATATCTATATCGCTATATATCTATATCTATATATCTATATCTCTATATATCTATATCTCTATATATCTATATATCTATATATCTATATATCTATATCTATATCTATATATCTATATCTATATATCTATATCGCTATATATCTATATCTCTATATCTCTATATATCTATATATCTATATATCTATATCTATATCGCTATATATCTATATCTATATATCTATATCTCTATATATCTATATCTCTCTCTCTCTCTCTCTCTATATATATATATATATCTGGTAGACAAGCATTTCTATCCTTTACATCTATTGTTACGAAATCAGTTTCACCCCGGTTCTTTTTTATTCCTTGAGGCTTCCAGAGATGGCACCGGACTCAGTAGTCATTTTCACAAAACCTTTATTCGTCTTTATTCATCTTCATTTAAGCATGCATCTTCTAGAAGGGGAGATGTGCAAGGCCGGTGTCCCTCTGCAAATCTTCCTGTTCAGCTATTCAACGTTTTCATAACACAAGTTTCATCTTACCATTAAACTGCGTGGCTTGCATATGTACAGAATATTTATGTGCTGCATGTTACATAGGACACTTTTACAGTCTTAACTTCTTAAACATTACTGCTGTTGTATTTAAAATGTACAGTTCAAGGTGAAGGAAATATTCATTCTTTCTGCCAGCCACATACTGTCCAGTTTTGAAACTAAACAGTTACATACAAGATGTGAACTGTCATGTAAAGAACCTGTGTCTTAATCTCCCGTTATTTATTCTGAGCTTTCATGTTACTACACACTAACTCATTGGCTCAACTAATTGATTATGTTTTATTACTATCATCTCTAATTAAACATTATGTTTGATTCAGAGTTTACTCTGGCAGGATAAAGAAGGCTCTGATAAAACAAGTGAAACCAACATGGAATGCTAACTAATATAATACCTCATTTTGAAACAAAAAACATCACCATAGAGGTTTATAACACTTTATAATAACAGGTTTTAACTTATGTGTATGTGCTGTGGGTTCAGAAAGTCTGATTCTGATATTTCTGATTCTGCTCTATTTTAAAGTCGGTAATCAAAAAGAAAAGATCAGATTTCCTGAAGTTGTATCTTTCCGCTGAAGCAGCATTTACTAAGGTGAATTTGATCTGCTCAGCAAAGCCTTGTTCAAGTAAATCAACCTGCAGCCGTCATTCACCTTCTATACTGAATGCTTTTTAAGTTACATTGTGAGACTGGACAGCACCAGATCCATGTGAAATTGTCACAAGTCAAATTATTCCAAGCCAGGAGGTTCTTTTCCAGTGTCAAATTGTGTCTAGACTGAAGGTTTCTGAGGGGGAAGCGCATTACACTCTAAAATGCTGCGTGGAAACTGGATCAGTTGTATCTAAAACACAATCAGGCAGACCAAAAGTGACTACGTTAATACATCAAACATTGTTCACTGGGAGATATAAAAGCTAAATCTAATAATAGTTGCAGAATTCGCTAAATAAAGAAAGCAAGACTGCAGTCAGCAAAAGTATTGTTCTAAGAAAAGCTGTGTAGTCGTAGTCTCAAATGATTAAAAGGGTCTCTAAAGTGCATGTCAGGATGGGAAATAAGGCCAAAGACTTGAAGCTAGAACTTTGCAGCTTTCACGATGAATGATTATAGAAGATATAATTTTCTAATAAAGTCTGAGATTTGTGGCAGTGTATGTGAGGACAAAAATAGAGAAGAAATGATACTGCAGCATCGACACCACCATGAAACACAGTCTGGCAGTATATTGGCAGTATATTGTGACAAAGTTGCTGTACACCCATCATTATTCTGCTTCATAATGTAGCAGAATAATGACTTTGTTCACACCCCAAAGCCTAAAAAGTTTGCTTGTGTGCATGTTATCCTAAAAGTAAGATGAAATCATACCACATATTCAGTTTTCCAGGGATTCAGCTTTTCATTCAAATTGTTATGCTGCATTCACTGGTGTGTTCAGACTTTTTGATCTTACTGTACATATATTATGATGATTTATGGCTGTATTAAATATTTGAGAACACTCCATTTCAGTGCATTATATGTTTATCAGCATGCATTTCAAGTTGTTGTGTCCAGTTAAAAGTGCAACACTAGCCTGAAGCTACTGAACCCTCAGGCTTTTTAACAATTGTTTTTTTTAGTGATGATAGGAAGCAGCGTGGGGAGTGAATTTCCTGTCCTTTCAACACCAGAGCACGCACTTTTAACACCTGGCACGAGCCAGGACAAAGAGTTGATTCATTTGACCCTCACTGCCAAG